TTTGGGGAACATAATTACCAGTAGACATTTTAAGGACTTCCCAAATATTTGTTCTTACCATCCAAGTACCATCCAAGTATGACAAACTATAATATCAGAGTATTTTCAATGTAACCTTACACACATTATTGTATTTTAGGTGGTATGGGGATGGGAGGGCCAGGAGGAGGGTTGTCTGCCCTGATGGGAGGTCGCCCCAGTAGTGCCCAGTCCACCGCATCAGAACCGTAAGTTGTCATTCTGATGGAAGATGGTCATCAAAAGTGGCTTTCAGTTGCTAATAAAAATTGATTGTAAAAAATAGGAACTGTGATTATTGAGCAATTAAAAAGTATAGGAAGCAATTCTATATATGATTACAATTTTACTTTTGTTAAAGCTTATGTTCATGATTATGTGTTATTTGTTGAATGAAATTGAATTGTGAACATAACATATGGATGTAATTTTAAATGTCAAGTTTAGCAAGCAATTTTTCGCAAGATAATCTACATTAGAAAAGAAACCAATGAAGGAGTCTTTTAACCTTTATTATGTACATTTAAAAAGTGCTGAAGTTTGCCATTTGAAAAATTCTATCTGTTGAAATTAAGTGTATTTTTGTAGGCCCATGAGGGTCCAGTCTTCCCCAGGGACAAGAGGTAGTGGGGGCGGATCCGAATCCTCCCAGAGACCAGTGACTGCAGCGGCCCTGCCCTCACAGACACCCACCACCACTGCTTCCCAACCCGCAGGCGGTGGCACCACCACACCCAGACAAGCTATACGGCTGAGTGACCTACAGAACATACTCTCAACCATGAATGGTGAGTCAGCAGAATATTGATATTATACAAGTATTCCATTTTCTTACTTGGATTTGGATGTTGTAAAAGCATTTAAATTTTATTTACATATGTTAATGTCTGTATCTTGTAATTTGCAGTGCCCTCTGGACCCTCCAAAGACCGTAAGTAATGTTTCTAGCATTTTAATTGTTATTTTTATTTTTAAATATTATTCTATTATGACATAGAATATCATAATTTTGTTTTGTTTTCAGAGGTGGATTTAGTGAGTGCGCTGAATCCAGAGTCCATGATACCCATTTTGGCCAATAAAGAAGTACAGGAGAGGCTGATAAAGTTCCTCCCAGAAGGGGAGTCCCTCCCTAAGACCGAGGCTGAACTCCGAAACACTGTACAGTCCCCTCAATTCCAACAGGTGAGGGAGGTTAAGATTTCTATCTTTATCTTCTTTTAACTTAGTTTTATCTCAAAATTGTTATATAGTGTATTTTGTCCTCTACTTTACTGACATGCGCTTGACAAGTTTAATTGAACTTTGGTATATTGAATATGAAAATCAAGAACACTACAGATATGTGGAAGTGAGTTGAAAATTCCATTTTTATCTCACCTGAGCTGAAAGCTCAAGTGAGTTTTTCTCATCACATTTTGTCTCTGTAGTCCGTCTGTCTGACGGACCGTCTAGCTGTCTGTCTGTCTGTAAACTTTTCAAATTTTTGACTTCTTCTTAAGAACCACTGGGCCAATTTTGACCAAACTTGCCACAAAGCGTTCTTGGATGAAAGGGATTCAAGGTAGTTCAAATGAAGGGCCATGCCCTAATTCAAGGGGAGATAATTTAGAAATAATGAAAATTTAGTGGCATATTTTAAAAATCTTCTTCTCAAGAACCACTGTGTCAGGAAAGTTGAAACATTTAGATCTGAGAAGATCCTCAGGTAGTGTAGATTCAAGTTTAATCAAATCATGACCCCCGGGAATAGGGCGGGGCCACAAGGGCCAATCAAAGTTTTACATAGAAATATATGGAAAAATCTTCTTCTCAAGAACTACAAGGCCATGATTAGTAATATTTATATGGAAGCATACTTAGGTAGAGTAGATTGAAGTTTGTTCAAATCATGACCCCTCAGGGTAGGGCAGGGCCACAAGGGACAATCAAATTTTTACATAGGAATATATGGGAAAAATCTTCTTCTCAAGAAAAGCAAAGACATCAGTGGTCATATTTATATGGGAGCATCCTCAGATAGTGTGGATTGAAGTTTATTTCGATCATGACCCCCCTGGGGTAGGGCAGGGCCACAAGGGATGATCAAAGTTTTACATAGAAATGTATGGAAAATTTTTTAAAAAACATTTGATAAACCATTTCTTCCAAAACCACTGGACCAGAAAATTGAAACTTGTTTTTCTTCAATATCTGAAATCTTTGTTTATCTCAAACTTTTTCCTTGGTCCTTTTGAGTATTAGATAAAGATGTATAAGAGGTAGAATTACATGGTTTTACATGTTTTTTCAGGCCCTGTCTTCATTCAGTGCCGCCCTTCAGTCTGGTCAGTTAGGACCGCTGATGTCACAGTTTGACCTTGGAGAAGATGTGGCCACTGCTGCAGCACAAGGAGGTCAGTTAGCATTTAGCTCTACTGGTCAGAGACTTGAAGAGCTTTTGCAATATTGAGATGTCTGTCATCTGTCCATCTGAGCACAATTTTCAAAACACTACTTCTACAATTTTGTTCCAATTTCAATATAACTTGGCGCAAAAGTAGACTACACAGAGATACTCTTTATCCATTTTTGGTTTGGATGAAGGGTTGGTATGGTTACTAAAAAAAGAAATTTCTTTGAAATACATTTCAAAACACTATTCCACCTACAGTTTTGTGTGATTTTAATACAACAAGCAAGATTTCATTGAGAAATCTGATTGTTTTTATTGTTTTGGAGTAGCTGTGGCTACTAACATCAAAATTTCTGTACAATACTTTAAAAAGTCTAATTCTCCTACAGTTTTTTTAGCTCATCTGAGCCGAAGGCTCAAGTGAGCTTTTCTGATCAAAATTTGTCCGTCGTCTGTCGTTGTCATCGTTGTTGTCGTCGTCGACGTTGTCGTAAACTTTTTACATTTTCATCTTCTTCTCAAGAACCACTGGTCCAATTTCAACCAAACTTGCTACAAAGTATCCTTGGGTGAAGGGGATTCGAGTTTATTCAAATGAAGGGCCACGCCCTTTTCCAAGGGGAGATAATTATGAATAAGAGAAAAATTAATGGCATTTTAAAAAATCTTCTTCTCAAGAACCACTGGGCCAGGAAAGATGAAACTCATGTGGAATCATCCTTAGGTAGTGTAGATTTAAATTTCTTCAAATCATGACCCCCGGGGATAGGGTGGGGCCAAAATGGCCGATCAAAGTTTTACATAGGAGTATACAGGAAAAATCTTTAAAAATCTTCTTCTCAAGAACCACTGGGCCAGGAAAGTTGAAACTCATGTGGAATACTCAGGTAGTGTAGATTCAAGTTTGTTCAAATCCTGACCCCCGGGGGTAGAGTGGGGCCAAAATGGCTGATCAAAGTTTTACATAGAAATATATAGGGAAAGCTTTTATAATCTTCTTTTCAAGTACTTCAAAGCCATGATTAGTAATATTTATATGGAATCATCCTCAGGTAGTGTAGATTCAAGTTCATTCAAATCATGATCCCCTGGGGGGGGGGTTAAAATTCAAGGCCCCCCCCCCCAACCTCAGTAAACTTTCAGTTCTGATCTGATATGTGCTTTTTCCTAGCCGATGTGCTCAGGTGAGCGCTGTGGCCCCTGGGCCTCTTGTTTTCAGATTGCATTAAATCTTGTCACAAAAAGAGACGAAACCAAGCACCATTATTCTATTTACTGCTGTTGCAAAGTTTCAGGTCCTCTTCCTTTGTGATAATTACAAACCAGTAGAGCTACAGTCTAGGCAGAAACTTCTTTTTTTTTTTTGTAATGCTTCATTATAGACAGGGAAATACTGTATATACATGTACTTGCCTATAAGTTTTTTGTGAGTAAAATGTTAGTCCAAAACTCTATGTCAGACTTATAGGCGAGTCATAAAAAAGTAAGTTTTTTTCTTGTCAAACAGCAAAAATATTGTATTTCACTAAAAACCTCCGATGATTATTGTTGAATTAAGTCTGGATATATTATATATATGCCTTCTAAGATTATACATACAGTACAAGTATTTACATAATTTAATTATTTTATTTTTATTTTAAGTGTGCAATACTTGTTTGTTTAATGATTTAAAACTATATGTCAGCGTCATTTCTAAAAATATTGATTGAAAGCAGATTACATGTAAAACATCAGAACATTGATTTGAAATTGTCAACTGATTCTGGCAAGAACTTGTACCAACTTATAAGCGGGTCAGTGGAAAATTCCCCCGAAATAAGCTAAAAGAAATTACACCCGACTTATAGGCGAGTATATACAGTAATTTTGTGATATATGTTACAGATTTAGATGCTTTTGTGAAGGCTATGCAAGAACAGCAGAAGAAAAAAGATGAAAAAGGAGAAAAGAAGGAAGAAACCATGGACACTGACTAGATATTGTTCACATGATTTACAGTTCTGTGCAAAGAATTGCTGAATATGATTATTAGTTTCGAAAGAAAAATCTGAATTATAATAAATTTTCATAATCTTACACCAAATTGTTGATTTTTCAGCCCCAGAGTTTATTTTATACAAGAGAAATGTTTGGAGAAGCTCTCTTAATATCATAAAATTTAAAGTTCAACAGATTTTGAAGATGATGTATTGAATTTTCATTTCTATGTGCGAGGACTAAACCACTGGACTAGAAAAGCTAAAACTTGTGTGGAAGCTTCCTGAGGAATTGCAGATTCTAAAGTGTTCAAATCATTCTCCTATAGGTAGGGGAAAAAAATCTTTAAAAATCTTCTTCTTGAGAACAACTGGGCCACAAAAGAAGAAACTTATTTGGAAGCTTCCCAAGGTAGTGTAGATTTAAATTGTTCAAAATCATTACCCCATGGAGCAAAGGTGAAACCAAAACAGGGAAACAGTTTTACATTGAAATATAAAAGAAAAATCTTAAAACCTTCACAGGAACCACTTTGTGTTAAAAGGTTAAACTTAGGTGAAACCTCTAGAGTTAGTCTAGATTCAATTGTTGGAATCGAGGCCCAAGGGGTAGGGGGAGTCCACAATAGGGAATCCAAGTACCAGTATTTCAACTCAAGGGGGAAAACCTGACAAAGAACAAAAGGCCAGAGTGACTCAGATGAACATGGGCTTTTGTTCCAGTAATTTGTCTTTTCAATGAGATTATGCATTTTGATAATCTGTTGGCATTTTATACATAATGATGTTTGAGCAAGAAACTTTTCTGTGGACATTTTGTGCATCCAAGATTGGAATATAAAACTAGTCATTTCTAACAAACATCACAATTTATTTCTGTAATATACAACTTAAAACAGTCAATGATTACAGCATATTTCATACTTCGACAAAGCAATATCCCGTTTCCTTCGACCATATCTGAAAAAAATATATATCACTTAGTAATTAAATTATTCTTGAAGCCTGTTTGTAAATTGTTTCTTTGTATAGAGATTTACCAAGCTGCAATTTATAGGTGCAAAAAAAAAAAAAAAAAAAAAACCCATGATATGCAAACACCCTTGTATACTGATTAGAAAATGTCGAGTAAAATACGACACCTTGGCTTGTGACAATTTCTTTTTGAATGTGATTAGTTATAAAGAATATTATCAATCAAAGCAACATCATAATAAATTAAAATAGATTTTGAAATAAGTTTCGGAATTCGATAAATATGACTGCAGTTACATGATAAAGTTAATGATTGGAGACAAATATAGGATGTAGAATAATGGTTTAAAGAAATCAACAAATAAAAAAAAAAGCTTACTTCATTAGCTGGTAGAACTTGCAGTCTACATTTCTACACATGGTTCGGTGGTTAAGATTTGCTAGCAATGATGGTAATGTTAAATCTGCTAAATATCTCTTGTGAATTCTGAAAAAAAAATCAACAATGGCTGGGTTTTTTAAAATTTTTTTTCCCTCCCTTTCTTTTAGTTTAATTTCGCTAAAACCTCTACATGTAGTACTTAAGTACTAACCTACCCCCCCCCCCCCGCTTCTGTTACCTTTACAATTTTAACTTTTTCGCCCAGTTACCATACTTGAAATACTTGAAATAATAAAGCATCCTAAGTGAAGTGAATTGTTCAAATTAATTAAGAATTTATATATCCTTCAGAGATGAGATAAGCAAAACCGGGAAAATTTGGATGAGGTTTTAAAAAAAAATCCTAAGAAAAATATCTAAAAATTCAATTGCCGTATTAAAGTGTTAAATTCCTGGCGCTCAAGCTTGGGAAAATATACAGAGATTTCAGTTTTAATTAAGCAGAAGATACAAAATTATTTGAAATCTGATAAAAAAAGGGCCACATTTTCTCAAGCTTTAGATCTCACAGATACAATCAACTGAATGGTGACTGAAAGGTCACTGAGTGGAAGAGCTGTGTCATATACATGAAGTCACAATTCAGTAACTTTTCAGTTCACTGAATGGCGAAGTTTCATCCTATGAATCTGTTGCTCTCTAAAAGAAAATAAATATTGGGGATGGACCCTCTTCTTTTTTTTTTTAGACTAGAGAGTTAAATTTCTCATAACAAACTGTATCACCCAAAGGAAACTAAATAAATACTAGTAAACATGAGAATGAAATTTTTCGAGCACACTGTCTCGCGTTATAACTAGAAAATACAGTTCTCGAGAATAAAAGGAGAATAGAAATGAGCAAAATGAGAAATATTTTAGATAAATGAATGAATATTCTTTTAAGATTTAAAAAGACCAATGTAAGGCAGATTGGTTTCTCATATTTCATGTAGAAAGGATATGATCGAAGTCATGATATGAATTCATCGCATATACACAATAAAAGATTACGTAGAAATGCACCGATTTTTTTTTTCCATAAAAAGGGTATATCTTGAAATTACTTTTGAAAAAAAGATTGTAATTAATCTTTTGTCAGATGAAACCTAACTCGGGAGAAGGGTGGGACCAAGCATAATTTTGTTTTGTAAACTTTCATACCATCCGACGCGTATGCATACAAAATCCTAAAATTGACTTTATCATATATCCCCAACTTCCAGGCCATACAAATTGAAACAAATTGTTTAACACTTTCCAGTGCTACTACAAGCAATATTATTTGTTTCAGTCAAAACAAAGAAATAATATGAAGAGAGGGAGAGACCCACATTTCCCCCCCCCCCCCCCCCCCCCATCGCACCATCTCAATTCTTGCCGTCAGTTGTGTAAAAAAAAAACATTCATTTTTCCGCTGGCCAGACGGGTCCGAGAAGTTGTGATTAGATCCCCCTTACCTGTTTTGATCATTAATGCCATCATGAGCGAATGTGTGAAAGACAAACATTGTCATAACCATCACAATACGTAGTCTCATGTCTTCAAAGACTACAACAAAAATAAGAATTTATTTTCTTTAACATGAATTGAAATATAAAATTTAATTTGATTTACTTAGGCCAGTTAGGTGCAAGTTTGTCTGCAAAAATGAAGAGATGACATGTACGTTTCCTTTGTATGAAATAGCTAATGAACGAATAGAACAAATCAATTGTTGTAACTTTATGTTAATGGTTTCAGATTAATGTTATGCACGTGGACGCATTTTTTTATTTCAAGATTTCTTACTTTTTGTCGTTGTACTCTTAAACATATACATCATTTTTTAAAATCATGGACACCTTTTAGTATTTAAGAATTAAACTTAATGTGGCAGACATATGTTTTGAACATATTTTATTGACAAACATGTCAAAGGGATTGAACATAAGTTCTTTAAACTTAGATTGTCCTCTCCCATACATAAAATATTAAAAGCCATACAATATATACAACTTTACGATAATATACATGAACGTAGAAGAACAAAAATCAAAGTACTGAAAGTACTGAAAAGCGGTTAGCATGCTTTCATCGAATATGTACAGTGTACAATAACAAAAAATGCATTGAATCATGATATTAAAGTAGGCATGCATATCTTTTTCCAGTGTCATCAGCGAAGAAGCAGACACACTGAATTTTGTAGTACTTAACTAAATAGTATAACCAATAACATCCCAGACTGATGTCACAAATGTTTGTTTCAAAATATCAACCTGAGATTTTCAGTTTGAAAGACAGGAAGTTCAATTTCATAAATTTCTCCCTAATTGTCTCCATTGGTGGCGTCCAAAAGTGCTCAGAACGAAAAAAAAATTATGTTGATGTTGCAAATTTAATTGGCTTTCATGCTCTATTGATTCTGAAATTAGGTAACTGTAAAGGCTACTATAGCAAACAACTCAAAAAGAAAATAAAATGATAATTCAAATTCTTTAGATTAATTGATTTGGAGTACTGTACATAGATCTTTAGCTGGCTAGTCTGAGAAAAACGGATGGACGAGCAGAGAATTAATTAATTTCAGAGAGCTTCAGTTTCGTAGGCTCACTGCAGGTCAGCAGGTGTGACCTGTCATTGGGGATGCTTACTTCTCCTAGGCACCGGAACTTTCAAGGATCCGTTTTTCTTTTGAGTCCGATCACTGTTCATTCTGTATTTTGATACAGATACTGAGTACATCTCTTTATTAATATTATGAACTATTTCTCTCACAGGAAGAAAGACAAGTAAACAAGATAATAACTTTTAAGAAATGTACATTATTGACTTTTCATACAATTAAATGTTCGAATAAGTAAATGGTATATGACAATTATTTAAAAAAGAGTCTTGCACGATATGTATAAACGAACATATACTGAGTATTCGGCAAATATTTTTCATGAAATATTATTAAAAAAAAAAAAAAACGTGTGAAAAGGAAAGTTGTTGTTTAATCCATCAATACTAGTATTTTAAAAATTCAAAGGTTCACTAAAAGTCAGTGTATAACAAACAATTTAATTGTCCATTGCAAGAATTACCTAGGTATCATTGTCACTTTCTTCAATATGTCGCATAAGCAATACATTGTTTTTTTTTTTTTTTTAGTTAAAACAAGTATGCGAATTTCTATCAATATGTCTGTAAGCATCTGTATTTTAATTTTTATTTCTTCTCAAAGGCTCAAAATGATAATTAACGAATTGGACAAATTCAAATTTAAAAAGTATTTTTACAACTTATACCTTGCATAGGAGTTTAGCAAACTTTCAAAAATAATCATTCATTAGATATAATTTTCAATTTAATTTTTCATGCCTCTTTTTTTCTGTGCATATTTTATATCGGCTGATTTTTAGAAAAGGATCGAATGCCGATTGAATTTTTTTCTCCAATTTTTTAAAATTAATTTTAGTATTTTCAGGCTCCCATTATTTTTTTTTTAAATAAAAATGTGATCGTTTAAAATCGTTTGTAATAATTAGACTGAGTACAGAATTTATCCCTGGAAACAAAGCTTCTATCATCTTTTAAATAATTTCAATTGAGAAAAAAAGGAGAAGAAAACAAACGTTTCATTATGGAAGTAATCCATAACTGTACAACTTACAGATGTATTCAGTATTTTTATATAAAGGTTTTCTTCGTGTACTAGTATTACTTAAGTTAATTAAAGGGATGCCTAAATATTTTGGAAAATGAAACTCGATCGAGAGATTCTCCGATGTTTTGCAGTCGGTAATAACCTTCAACCCCTTTAGCCAGTAATTAACCCGTCCTCCCTGTGCCCAGTAGCATAATTCGGTCAAATATTTATTGTTCATGAGGGGTGCCTTATAATTAATCACAGGCACCTGAATTTTTATCAGTAAGTCTCTAAATTAGCCAAATATCGAAACATTCTACCCCCTCTATATATAAATACGCAAGGTGTCCAACGCCATTTTGACCACCTGTTCGATTCAGGCTTCAATTTAACACATAAATCGGAAATGCCTACTGGTTTTCGTGTAACATTGGGTTCAAATATGATATTTCTCGCTATACATTTCTTTCTAAAGTTTAAATCTAACGCGTTGATAATGTTATCAGCTAAACTTCATGCTGACTTCGAATTTCGTCACAGGGCCCGATCGCCATCAGCTGATGTCACGGAAATTTAATCTCGACACCAAATGCTCCTATACATAAACTTTTTTTAATACAACAATTATAAATTTATTTCATTGACAAACAAAATCAGAAAAAAATTAAAAAACCGAAAGATTATGTTGTTTTGATAGTCTTGATTTTATTTAACATATGTTATATGTGTTAGAAACAAATCATAGGTACTAGGTAGAGGCTTTGTTGAAGTTTCCGTTGTCGATAGGTAGCGCCTTATGGAAGTTTCCGGTGTCGATAAAAATCGGACACATGCCATAAAGCGGTTAGCGAATAATAGCTATTATTGCCAAAAATATCAATTAATTTTGACATATGCAATTTAATTGTATAGTAAATAAAGACACACCTTCCCAAAAAGTAGAAAATAAAATTGTGGTCATACTAGTCCGAAAACCCACTAAGCCTTAAAGGGGAAAGAATATTATTCACCTTATTGCCTTAGCCTAAATCAAAATATAATATTTAATAAAAGAAAATGTTTTTCATCTGTTAAAGAAACAAATAAATCATTAAAGAAAAATATGAATGAATGAATAATTAAAAAAAATGAAAAAATCAAATTAAAAACTAATAACTGAACAAAACAAAAATCAAACAAACAAATAATAGAGAAAAGCGGATCTGATTTTCAAGCAAATAATTAAGCTGATTCCGGTAAGCAACTGAATATCTTAACATAAGAAAAAAATGATTTGTAGTTTCTCTAGTTTTCCTTACCTCTCACTTTGTTCTCTCGTAATCAAGAGTCCTATACTTGCAACATTTATACAGGGTAGATTGCTTATTGTATCATTTACAGATTTGAACCCAAGGACCTAATTACAGTCCCTACGTAACACGCCATGATTGGTTCGCGTTTTCCTTGATTTTGTCATTTCTTTGACGGACGTCATGCACAAATAAAGTGAACAAATTATATATTCCACTATAGTCAACTAACGAATTTGTCTTAATCAAGAAAATCTAACGAAATATTACGTAGTGTTACAATTGACGATATTTTGCCGATAAGACCACCCCCTTCTTTTAGCTATCGAATTCGTTTTTCAGCTCTAACGAGTTCTGGGGGACATTGATAAAATGGTCCTTAATGAAAAACCTCTGCAATACGATGTTATCGAAAGGGGATTACGCGAAGACAGCGCGGGAAATAAGGCGCTGAATTTTTTTCCAGAACGACAATGTCACAAAACAGATCAAAATAATTACAACCGATCAACACTTGATTACCTTTACTATATGGGAGAGGAACCAGGTTCAACCAATTCGTTGTCATAAAACGTTCAAGAAACACTTAATTCAAAGCCAACTACTAAAGTCTAAGACTTTCATATTTCCACTGACGTTTTGTTTGTGAAAGTTTGCGCTCAAATTTTTATTTCTCTGTTTTCGTGTAATTCTAGCACTTAATAAGGTTTTGTTATTATCCTTCAATTAATTTTAATGTCTTAATTTTTCGTGTGAATTTCTAAAGGAAAACCACAACCAACACTACGATTGATATGGTTTTTAGAATTATTTCTTCTTAAAATAAAGGTAAATTATTTTATCTTTAAATATATATCTTTGTCAATTTTTTTTGTCAATGCGAGCAACATGGATAAAATAAAATTTGAGCCTTCAAACATCAAACAGTTCTTAAACCTCAAAAAGTTAATTTTAGTTTGCTTGAAATATTTTTATCATAGCTCTCTACTTTAAACTTGCACAGTTTTAATCGGAGTGTGGTAGCACTTGAAAACAAATTATAAGACCTTATTAGCGACTAGATATTCAACGAATAAAAGCGGGAACTTTTCTTCCTACCTTGTGATAAGGGAATGCCTTATTGTACAAATTATCCTGTAAAGTGAAGTACTATCCCCCCTTTTTCCACAATGGCAAGAAGCAGTAAACAAAACGGAGTTCTGTTGCTTTGTAAGGTAAAGCAAAACTTTGTGCCTATGCCATGAATCAAGAACGCTACGATATTTAGCTGCAATTTTCTATTCAATGAATATATCTGATGCTGAGCTTTAAGACATTTTGTCTCGATCCAGGTCTATAAAACGAGGAATTGTTCTCATATTCCAGATTAGGTATTAATTATCGATTGTAAGAAACACATAACTGAACAATACGACACGATACTGCACTAAATTTTTACTTATAGCTGGCATTAATTGTCATTCAATTCTCTCTAGGGAAAATGAATTTGTTTACTTTATTCTTTAATGAACCAAGCAAGCAAACAGAAAAAAAATTGAATATATATAGTGTATTTTTTAAGAGGGGGGGGGGGTGTTCAAAAGTTTACACATGCTCCGATTTTTGAATCGCAATACCTGGACAACAATATCTGATAACAAACATTTAAAATAAGATACTGGTGATATAAAAATCGTAAATAAATAATAAAAACAAACAAACAATGGAACTCATGTAATTCTCCCATCACTCAATAAAGTTTATTAATCACATTTTTGTTTATTGATAACAATAACGCGTATCAAGCATACAAACCAGCAAACTGCCTTAATTCTAAGAAAATATTTCATGAATCTTCAAACAGAAACAAAACTATAAGGTGCAATTTTAATCAAAAAGAATATTTTGAAGAATAATATCAGCTATAGTAAAAATGAATTATGCAATGAATTGAAAATATATTTCAATGTGTAGGGGAAAAAAGGAAAATGGGAATTAATTTTGAATTTAACTAATTTGGTGTATCAAAAACACAGTTTATAAATATACTCTTAAAGAAGTAAACTACGAAAAATGGAGAGCAGAACACAATTTAATGAATTTTTTTTTTTTTTTTTTTTTTTACAAATTATTTCCATTAAAGAGCGTTTTTATATTCAATTGAAAAAAAAAGAAACCCTTACTTCTGACTGCTGGCGTTGTAATACGATCCCGGGTACTGTGAGGGCGTTGACACAATCAGAATAAATCGGGGAGGTTTACCTCACCATGGCCGGTAGAGGTCGATGTATTCGATAGCATCTCTGTAGGCCTTTCTATATCTGATATGGCAGCGGAGGGGCCATAATATTAATTAACGATCAATACGTCAGGTAATTTACTTAATTATTTATTGTTGGTGGTTACGTATATTATACAATTAAAGACTACATCTCCTAAATATGGACAAGTGTACTGCCATAACTCTACAGAAATTCTCTTTGTCATGTCTTTAGATCAACAATGAAAAAATCCGTTACAGCATGAATTTAAAGTCGAGCAATTATACTAGGACATTTGAAAAAAAAGTCAATCCCAACGTTCTTTAGATCTATCATTTCGTCACATTATTCTCACTATGACGTCAGATATATTGTGACGTCAAAGCTCTGTTTCGTTTTCTTCTGTGACGTTATGCAAAATAAGCCTTGTAGGGATGTTGTTTCCAAGCAACACCGTTTGTGCAAAATCGCGTTTGGAGCCGTTTTCAAAGAAAACAATTCAGTAAATGATGCATCGAGCATACCAGCCGTTGACACCAGCCAATAATATTTACTTGAGGCAAAGATGGGATCAGGAGTTCTACGAAGAACACAGGAAAAAGATTTCCTTGGGCAAGTATTGTAATCATTTTGCACGAATATTCTTAAAATATGGACTTCACCTTGTCGAATATTAAGATTTGGGCTAATATGCAGTTTATATTTCACGTGGATCTATCTAAGCGCGTTTGAGTTTAAGTGAGTTTAGTCAAAGTTTTCACAAAGTGATACAGAATAGAATAGAATTTATTTGCCAATCATGGTCCCACTTGGGGCAAAACATAGATACAAGGATAACTTGTAACACTCAAGAGGACAAGAAATGCATAAAAATACAGTAATACAGAACAAAAATGCTAGAATTTAAATCAATGTATGCCTGTAAACGTATTGTAAGACTCTAAACATTTATTCGCGAGTGAGAAATATCCGCGAGTTCTATGATCTCATTTTATTCGCGAATATTTCTCTAGACGCAAGTGAATGTAGTCTGCAATGTCTTAATCTATGTTGAATGTTGCTTCAATTGCAGATGAATTTTAAACTGGAGTATCGCGAATATTAAAGATGTCTAGTACTTGTAACTCATAACTTTATTATTCTTTCAGCCAAGTCGGTTATAGACAACAATCCACCAAAGACTTACATGCATCTTCACATCAAACTTAAGAAATTACAGGTAATGAAAACTATATGTTTATCAATAATTTACGGAAGCGTATTAGTGCCACGCAATTTTTTTTTTAAAGTTGGTAATTCCAACTTTAATCTTGGCTTTTCCAACTTTAAAGTTGGTAATTCCAACTTTAGATTTGGAAATTCCAACTTTGAAGTTGGTAATTCCAACTTTAATCTTGGCTTCTCCAACTTTAAAGTTGGTAAATCCAACTTTAAACTGGAAATTCCAACTTTAAACTTGGCTTTTCCAACTTTAAAGTTGGGTAAAGTTGGTAATTCCAACTTTAATCTTGGCTTTTCCAACTTTAAAGTTGGTAATTCCAACTTTAATCTTGGCTTTTCCATCTTTAAAGTTGGTAATTCCAACTTTAAAGTTGGAAATTCCAACTTTAAACTTGGCTTTTCCAACTTTAAAGTTGGTAATTCCAACTTTAAAGTTGGTAATTCCAACTTTAATCTTGGCTTTTCCAACTTTAAAGTTGGTAATTCCAACTTTAATCTTGGCTTTTCCAACTTTAAAGTTGGTAATTCCAACTTTAATCTTGGCTTTTCCATCTTTAAAGTTGGTAATTCCAACTTTAAAGTTGGAAATTCCAACTTTAAACTTGGCTTTTCCAACTTTAAAGTTGGTAATTCCAACTTTAAAGTTGGTAATTCCAACTTTAATCTTGGCTTTTCCAACTTTAAATTTGGAAATTCCAACTTTAATCTTGGCTTTTCCAACTTTAAAGTTGGAAATTCCAACTTTAATCTTGGCTTTTCCATCTTTAAAGTTGGTAATTCCAACTTTAAAGTTGGAAATTCCAACTTTAATCTTGGCTTTTCCAACTTTAAAGTTGGTAATTCCAACTTTAATCTTGGCTTTTCCAACTTTAAAGTTGGAAATTCCAACTTTAATCTTGGCTTTTCCATCTTTAAAGTTGGTAATTCCAACTTTAAAGTTGGAAATTCCAACTTTAATCTTGGCCTTTCCAACTTTAAAGTTGGTAATTCCAACTTTAATCTTGGCTTTTCCAACTTTAAAGTTGGTAATTCCAACTTTAAAGTTGGTTATTCCAACTTTAATCTTGGCTTTTCCAACTTTAAAGTTGGTAATTCCAACTTTAATCTTGGCTTTTCCAACTTTAAAGTTGGTAATTCCAACTTTAAAAGTTGGCTTTTCCAACTTTAATCTTGGCTTTTCCAACTTTAAAGTTGGTAATTCCAACTTTAAAAGTTGGCTTTTCCAACTTTAATCTTGGCTTTTCCAACTTTGACTTTTAACGTTAGAGGAAGGATTTTATTATCTATTTACTTATTAATTTTTTGCTTGTCAACATACTGAGTATTTCTGGCTGGGGTGCCCCCACCCCCCTCCCCCCTGAAAAAAAATCCTGGATCCGCGCTAGTACGGAATTGATACATTTAGTTATGTTGTATATAATTTAGCAGAAAATGTTTCATTTGATTAAATAAAATTTGATTACATTGATTATTTAATTGTTGTCTAATTCTTTCATGCAATACATATTAAATGACTAATATCTGTAATTGGTTAAGTTGAAATCCTGTCATGTACGGAATACTGTGTACATAATTTATATGAAGTTATTATCAATAGAAATACACAAGAGAACTTAAAGGAATATAAAGATTTCTAAGTTAAAGTTGGAAGTTTTATGTAAGGGCATAAGGAAGGTCAAGGTAAAAAAAAATAAAACGAACACAGATAAAAAGAGTTCAACAATTTATTTTAATGTGCTAATATCTATTTTCTATTAAGTGCCATAATATAACTCCACACAATCCCGTCCGCTCTTCTTACCTCCCCCCCCCCCCCCCCCCCCATTTCGACCCCTACCCCTACATTGCAATAATAAATTGCTAACAAATCTATTTCAATGTGTTATTTTCACTTTAATTAAGTTTGTGATACTTTAAAAAAAAATTAAAAAAAACTAAGAAAAGCGGGTAGAAAAGTCAAGATTAAAGTTGGAAAAGCCAAGATTAAAGTTGGAATTACCAACTTTAAAGCTGGAAAAGCCAAGATTAAAGTTGGAATTTCCAACTTTAAAGTTGGAAAAGCCAAGTTTTAAGTTGGAATTTCCAACATTAAAGTTGGAATTACCAACTTTAAAGTTGGAATTACCAACTTTAAAGTTGGAAAAATCAACTTTAAAGTTGGAATTACCAACTTTAAAGTTGGAATTACCAACTTTAAAGTTGGAAAAGCCAAGATTAAAGTTGGAATTTCCAACATTAAAGTTGGAATTACCAACTTTAAAGTTGGAAAAGCCAAGATTAAAGTTGGAAAAACCAACTTTAAAGTTGGAATTACCAACTTTAAAGTTGAAAAGCCAAGATTAAAGTTGGAATTACCAACTTTAAAGCTGGAAAAGCCAAGATTAAAGTTGGAATTTCCAACTTTAAAGTTGGAATTACCAACTTAAAAAAAAAATATTGCGTGGCACTAATACGCTTCCGTAATAATTCGTTAAAACAATTTAAATAATAATAGACAGACTTAATAAAATGCCTTGATGATTTTTATTTTCGTGACAGATGGAGGGCGAGAGACTAGCTATAGTGGAGCGAGACAATCGTATATTACTAGAGAAAATGGCGCACATCATGAGAACTGGCGGCAGAGTGGATAACCGGAAAGAGGATTATAAACAAAAAAGGTAGGGATCAAGGTTCACATCAAATCTACCACCCCCACCCCCACCCCTCGAATATATACACACAAAACGACCAAACAGTAGGGTGGAGGTACACCCTCCCGTACTAATAACGACCAACTAAGTAACGTAACATCCAACACTTTCAAAAGCATTAACAACAAATCATAAGGTTAAATAAACAAGCCAGTTAACAACAAAAACATTACTTTTAATCTGTAAAACAAACACTGCACAACAGTACGCAGTAGTACAATCACTCCCATGAAAACAATACAAGGAACTAGATAAAAATAATCTAATAAATGAAACCAAGACATGAGCGCCACTATAAATAAGTAAAGAAGGAACATACATGCACTATACATGAGCAACAGTACAATCAATCCCAAGAAAACAGTAATGGAAACACAACAAAATAGTTAAAATAAAGACCTAAAATGAAACCAACGAAACATCCATTGTGGACTAAAAAGAATGGAAACGGGAACACTATCAATATCACACAAATAGTTAAAAAAGACATGGTAAAAGGTATTTTTTATATAATGATTTACAGTCTCAATAAAACCAAGAGACAACGGGAACTTCTGAGAATCACCCATGAGAACTTTGCTATTCTGAAAAGATTAACGGCCAAGGAACCCCACTATCACCACATGCGATGGCAGGATGAATGGAATGTAAGAAATTTGAGTAATTATGTAATTCCTGACAAAATTAATCTATTGCAACGATACATTCTTATACCTTTGTATTTCTCATAACATATAGTTACTCAAAAAAAATGCTTGGACTAAACATTTAACAAGGTTATTTTTAATTTTTGGAAGTTAAAATTTGAATTTTTTTTTGACATGTAAGGTAGTACCGGGTATATTGACCATAGCGAAATTGGATACTGGAGTTAAATCTAACACTATTATGACGATGTTAATTTCAGATTAACCAAAGATATATGATGAACATTTCAAAGTTTCCTCACTATTGGAAGAATAAGCATCTTGTCCCATACGAGGTTCATAAAGAGAAAATAGCAGATGCTAACAGACGTATCAGAAATCGGGTAACTATTGTGCTATCAAATTCTGTTATATTGGTATAAACTCTAATTAATTGTTTCAACATTTGAAGCAGTAGAGTTTGTTCAATATTGTAAACTAAAATTAACTAAATATTAATACTCTCAAAATATACTACCTCTAAAACTTTCAAAAAAGTACAAACATTAGGTTGATAATGAATAGTGCCATATTTAAAGATTTTTGGTTATTTAGACCATAAAACCTCGTTGTTTGTAGCAAGAGCAACACGTAAACCACAAAGGATCTAGACCCGATGCCAGTGGATCTAAGGGGAGTGTTCCGATGTCTAATCATTCAGGATTACAAAGTCCTCAAATCTGTGTTCAGTCCCCCTCCTCCCCCCACGTGGAAGACTGCATCGTAAAAGAAAGTGGTTAAAAACTAGGACATCTTTTTTAAAAATCTCCTTTCAAGAAAGATAAATAATATGGAAGGATTTTTAAACATCAAAATAAAATAAAATTTTCATAGAAGGAAATTAATATTGACACATATCTTATAGGGTGCCAAATTTTTAAGCCATATTAAATTACATTATGTAAATTTAATCATAAAAAATATATAAAGAATAAACGAATTAACTCGAGTATTATTCATTTATTTCTCCCTTCAGTATCAAAAATCTGATACCAAATAGGTTTCCACTGTGGCACACAGTGGCATATGTTTTGTCCTATATATTGTACAGGTATATCACAGATAATGTACAGGATGTATATATACAATTATACATACATGTATATAAATGTTAATCAAAAATTAAAGACAACGCCTCCCTTCATGTTAATTTTTTTAAAAAAAATATGGACGAATGAAAATGCGATTATAGTGGAACTGTCTCTATTTATATGGAATCTGCATCCCCAAAGCTGCTTCATGTTCTCGAGCCTTCATCCGAAGTGAAGTAATACTTCCGGTGCGTTGAGACGAATCGGAAAATGGCGATCCATATCGACCAAAAATAGACATAGTAGCTGCATACGTCAGGGGATTCAGTCCATAAAACGGAAAAGTGGAAGGGAAGTAGGGTACGTGAGGTTTTGTAAGATTAAGAGGCATTGCTTCATCATCATCACTAACAGGTTCTTTTTTAGTTCCATCAAAAAGTTTTGGTAAATTTACCTATAATAATAAATAAGATATATACAAATTTTATAAGAACAATCGTACAAAAGCACTGTGTACATCTTCATGCAATATGCATAATCAACGCGATGATCGTCTCACCTGAAATGGCAGGGGTGACACGTCGCCCCGTAAGGTAGAGGTTTTAGGGGCGGGTACGTAATGGACTTCCTTTAAGTCTTGTAGACCCCCAAAGTTACCAAGTTTTTCATATTTCCTCCACTTAGCCCTTCTGTTTTGAAACCAGATCTGAATAACAAAAGAAAAATCCGAACAATTCCAACATTACTTATCTATCTTTCACATTGGAAAAGGAATTTTTCGTAAAAAAAATTCAATTTCATTTTAAACTATAAAAAGTTGCCGACAAACTTTTGTTCTGACCTGAACCCTGGCCTCTGGGAGGCCCGTTTTCTGCGACAGTTCCTCTCTGGCATTAACATCCGGATAATGTGTGACACGGAAAACATTTTCCAGGCATTTTAGCTGATCAGCAGTAAAAGTAGTCCGGAACCTCCGCTTCTTATGAGAATCCATGCTAACATCCGGTTCTGGTGAACTTGATTTCCTTTTGAGTGCTGACTCGGAGATTGAAAACGAGTCTGGGGTTCTACGGGAGAATTTTGGGGATACTGGTGGTGATGTGGTCACTTCCGGTTCCATTTTCTCTGCAAGAAAATTTTATGCTTATATAAATCCAAAGAGAAGCTTAAATTTATAAAGTAAAATTATGTCACTATAATCAGTGATTCCCAGCAGTGATTATTTATTTATGATAGAGATTAGGAATTATTGCCTCTCCATCTAACCGACCATAGGAAGAAAACACGTGTGCATTTCTGCAATTTAATCACACTAATTAAAGGGATAAAAGTTTTATGGAATAAAGGAATGTCATTGAATTGCTATTGAATATGCCAATACCAACTTTGAAGAACCCTTCCTTAAATTTAGAGATAGCAATTTTGATCAAATTGATCTCGCACCTACTCGAAAAATGACAGTGCTTAGGAAACCGTATGGTACGGTTCAAAGACGAATTTATGCGGCGATCAAAATCCTTTCCTCGCAACCACTGAGACGATGTTTACTGAGTTGAAAATAAATACCTTGTCGGTTAAGAAATATTGCAACAATGGCTTTTGAAGCTGCAATGATATCTCGGGTGATTTACAGGTTATTTAGACAACAGCGACAGAAACAGAATTGCACATTATGTATTCTTAATTCTATAGTCAGCAGAGCGTTCGTCTTCTGCATTTGGTATCTTGTTCTACATGATGACGTCATGAAAAATTCTCCTTCCTTAAAAACATTACTTTCAAATAGTTTTACTCTCAAAGTAATTTCAATACATTTTTTGAATTCATGAATAATTTAGATTGAAACGTACAGTTCCAATAAACTTTGGAAGTAGCAGCATGTGTAAAATAAAGTTTCCCAAATCATAATTATTCTGCATTGAATATATTATCCCTTTTCAGCAATCTTTCATAGCCAACAGATGAGTAGATTCAATTAAATGGATTTCAAAGGTCGCTCATTCAAGCTAATTTAATGTAAAGACAATACAGTAGATGTCATCCTAAGTCATTCTTCATCTCCATTTTGCAATCAGTTCTCTTTAAAGCCTTCGGAAATAACAAAATTCAAACATATATATTGCTCTTATCTCTTATCACTGTAGTAAAACGATTATATTTTGGTCCAATACTTCAAATATCATTGAAATTGCAATGATGACAATTTGGTGCTGTAAAATATATTAGAATGAGAGTATCGGGGTCAGATGGACATCCTCGAATTGACTTGTTAAAAGTCCCTGTCTTCTCGTGACTTTGAAGACTTGATAATTTATGGACCATTCTTCCTTTCCTGGCTTGAGAAAAAGCACATTTTCTTAAAATCTTTTATTTGAAATCTCTTTAAAGAGGATTAGAACAAAACCCATTCTTATTAAACTTTTTTGAACCATGTTTGATTAAATTAACACTTTAAATCCTCAATTACCCAATAAAAGGGATTTCTGTTTGATATCTTCGTCTGAACAAACGCGAGCTTCAATTTTAAACGACATAAATTACAATTTTGCAAACACGTTCATGGAGTTTCTTCTTGTACCTGCTTGTGATAGGGTCAACTGTAATTTATAATTTTGATAAGAATTTTCAGAGCTGTTTTTTACGAGAATGAATCAAATTTTTAAAAAAGTGCAACGATGTAATTTCTACAGAACTGACAGTTCACTGTGTGTTGTTACCAAACATGATAGCAAGGGATATTTTTTAGATTTAGAATTTGAATGTATCTTTTCGGAGATTTAATAACATGTTATGTACATTTTGTGGTATTGTAATATTTTCTTTGAAACCATTGTTTATATCAAAATGAATTTTGGAATTGCTCAAAACATCACAATTATAAATTAAAAAAAAAGATACGGCAAATTTCCGATATAAACTTAATCATTTAGGATAGTGTCAATTTAGAATTTTCTCCAAAGATATTGGTTTGTTTCAACTTTATGGTGGGAATGTAACAGACTGTTGGCTAATTGGTCACGAACAAAATGCGATGAAGTTAATTTATCAATACAATAATGGGGAAAAATCAATTGTTGACCCGTCGTCAATTTAGGGTCATAAATAAACTTAAAATGTTATTTGTTAAATTTCAAAAAAAAAAGATAAAAAATAAATTAATAAAATTAAAATGAAAATAATAGATTAAAAAAAATCAGTGATAATTAAAAAGTTAAAGAGATGATGATATGTAAAAAACACGCATTATACATGTATAACACTGCTGCAAGAGAATGAAACTATTAGTAATAATTATTTTAAAAATCTTAAATAATTTACAGTAAGAAAGCAGTTCATTAAATAAAAAAAACAAAACATTTTTTCAAAATGTCGATTCTGTTTTTTTTATTTAATGAGAACAAGAATTAGGTCAAAAATTTTTTGGTAAATTGAATAAACTTGATTAAACAAAACTCAAACTCAATAAAAAAAGTAAGAAATACACAATAAAAATAATAAAATAAATACTATCATAGATGTAAAAAAAATTAATGTACAAATAAATAAATATTAAAAAATGAAATATATTATTATAATCATACATTTCATAAAACGTACTGAAAGGGTGAATTATTTGCAAAATCTTAATAAATGAAAGCATATTTCTTAAAGTTGCTCTTTTGTTTTCATCTATTCCAAATAAAAAAAATCAGCCTGTGATAAGGAAGAATTGATGTGCACTATTTACTCTTGTTGAATAATTTAGTGGAATTGAAGTGATCTCTAAACTGTAGAGACACAGCCATAAAAAAAACAAATGACGAAGTTACCTGTATCATCCGCTTCTGAAATTTTGGTTCGGTTTTCAGTTTGTATCAGGTTCTCATAATCTTCCAGTCTTGACGATTCGCATCTCAAAATTGCATCAATGGAGTGAAGCGTCATCCGACGTGCAGAAGTAGCTTTACCTTCATCATTCACATCTGTCAACATTTTTGTTATATTCTACGAATGTTTTTTTTTTTTACTGATTTGATGAAAATAAAAATTTACACTAAACCAACCCGGAGTGCTCCGAGAACGAGAGAGATTAAAGGATGTGTCAATGTTCATGTATCGATTGTTTAAATATGATAATAGAAAGGGCCATAAATCTCCCCCTTGTCAACTCCCTCGGCTTTTAACATTTCTTGCATTGGTCGATTGAAGTAGTTTAATCACTGGAAATACGTGATTGACACAAAATATTCTCTTCCGAATTGGTTACAGGTAAAACGAAATCGGTAAGTCTGAACTTTTAAGGAAATGTAAAAACTTCAATGCATAAAATCTTTAACAGCTTTACTTTGTGCTGAAGTTTCGCTTTCATAACATCTATTTAATAAAGAATATTAAATAAATCAGGCTTTATTTTGTATTAACTAATTTTTTTTAAAATTTTCAATTCATATTTCCTATTTTATTACTCTATCATTGGAAAAAGAAATATAATAGATAGCAAGGGGTATTTTCAAAGATAACCTTAATTAACTATTAAACCAAGAAATATTTTTTAGCTTCAGATCATAGTTCTTCTACTCTTGGTGCAATAAAGCTAATAAAAAATTCAACCATCTGATTAAAACAAAACTGCATTTATCCAATTTCTTTCATTTTTTAATGCTATTTCTTAAAACCAAGCAATGGTTGTACAAGTATAAATATTCATGCGCGTTTTTGATTTTTTCTCTCTCTCCCAGTCCTACTTTCTCTTACCCATTATCTTTATTCCACCTTTAAATCCATTCATTTTGCAGATGTTTGCCGGTGCATTCCTCAAACACTAAAATTAATTTCATTTTTGATAAATTTGACTTCAGCTTTTTATAATATCCAGTTAATGTATTTCTCATTTTTCATAACCCAGTCAAGAAAATTTTACAGGATATGTTTTGAAAAGTTATAATAAATCTATTTTGAAATGTTTTATTCGAGTGCGAGAAATATCGTTAATTTCGCGATTTAATTTTACTTGCCAATATTTTTTGGTCACATAGCTTAATGCTGAAAATTTCCAAAGTTGCGAAAGTTTATCGCCAAAGTTACAAAACGATCACAAAAAAAGCCCACAATATCAAAAGTTAAAAAATACGATGGACGACTAAAGTACTACAGTGATGACATCCACTAAAAAAGGGTATAGGTATATTTATTGCGCTAAAATATGCGCTGTTACTTGGTGTTTTTTTTTAAATCTCAGAATATTTCTGACTTCATGTTTTTAACATATTCTTTTACTACTTCCTCAACAAACATTCCCTACAGAATTTACAAATCAGGTACGATCGACCGCATTGTCTTGCAATGTAAAATTGCAGTATCAATTTGAAATTTCGATGTTCTCCTTTTTAGGTTTAATATGGATATTAGCTACGGTTATGGGGAAGGTTTTGTTGTGGAAGTATAGAAAAAGAATATTTTAGGAAAACATGGTTAGTAATATTTTGATATGGAAGCTGAAATATACAGAGAAAAATATATCGAGAAATAGCGCGCATTTAAATCATTATACACTTTTTTTTAGTTGGTGGCACTGTAGCTCTCTATTAGGCTATACCCATCCCAAATTTTCAGACCACCGAGCTCCAGATCTGTAGCAATTTTCTCTCATGTATTTGAACTATATGCATACATGTATATGTTTTTCAAACCATAAGATCATAATATCAAGTTGCAACACAGAAAGGGTTCATTCTTAAATTTCATTAGATTGATTAGGCATTAAATGTACAAGAACAGATTCTGTATCCTCAAATTCATCCTTCATTGTTCTTAGAGTGATTAGAATATTAGAGGTAGAATTATAACAAACCGAGGGATTCAATATGACTGCTTCCTCTGTATATTCTTAACTTGTTAATTAGAAATTGTACATGGCACCAACATCATATGGTTAACCAAAGACATTAAGTATAAAATTCTTCTTGAAGGCCACAAACGCGATTTCAAGATATTTTTAATGCGGTTAGAAGAAAAAAACAAACATTCCAAAAAAGACAAGTTTTCATAATCTGAATTTTGATAAGAACCGTGACCATGTTATTTACTTTAAAAACAAGAAAACTAATTTGAAACAAATAAAACTGCAAGAAGACCTATCCTTCCTTTAACTTGATTTTTCTCTTTGTTTTATTTTCTCCATAAATCAGATTTAGCAGATTGGTATATAAAAGATTAAACATCGCCATATATTTGCCATCACAAGCATTTATTTTCACTCGAAACGCTCTCCCGTCTCGCAATGTTCTAGCACAAAATGGCTACTTCAGAAAGTTAATACACACTTAAATTTAGAGCAATTTAGCCGTAATTCTGCCGTTATTCCTACACTTTATCTACGGTACAGAAAACTCAATAGACCTTGTATGTTGAACAAATATTCCCCCGGGGTAATTTATGGGGTATATTTTGAAAGTCAATGGGGATATATAGGCGTTTGTCTAACTTTCATATATATTCATTAAACAAGTATTTGGCTCGATTACGACCAATTGAAGACGGGCATTTATGGCTTGTAGATAGCAAACGTGTTTTAATTCCCGATAAAGAGCGTATTTGTTTTCGTTTAAGGGTGCGAATGGTGGTTCTAAATTTGAGCAAAGGTGTGAACAGAAAAAAGTAGATATTTGCCAAAATCTTGAAATGTAAGTTTTACCAGTAATTTACAGCCTTTGGATTTCAATGATCTCCAGGTGCTAAAAGATCAAACTAGGTGCGACAATTTTACTTACTTTCATCTGTCCATAAGTTCTCTTTTGTCTCAATATATTATGCTCAATTTTAAAATTCACAGGTAACCAAGAATTAAACATCACCTTTGACCTTGAAAAAGATTTTCGTCCAATCTTTACGCTGCTTTGAATAAAATTATTTAAAATCATACTTGTATTGAAAATTGTCATCTGTATTCAAATTTGGGTTTTATCACACAATTTATGAAATTTTAATTTTTATGCACGATCATTATTACCTTTTTAAAACTAAATTGGATGTTTTTCTTAAACATTACAATATTTGACAATGTGCCAATGAACACAAAAAATCTATGATCAATCAGAGAGTAAAGAAGATCATTTCAAGAGATTTTGAGATTTTTCAGATTACATGCAGTGTTCTAGTATTGAACAAGATCTCCATTTTCTCCATCTTACCCTTGCCTTGATGTAAAGTAAAACTTTGATAGGGAAGTCAGAAACAAATCAAGACCAATTAAAATCCGTCTCCTTGTCAGCCAATAAGTCAATAAAAATCTAGATAACGTCGAAAAGACCAAAGCGACAATTGTCCTTCTTTTCTCAATAATCACACGGCGGCCTTTACAAGACTATAAGTTTGATGGTTGCAGGTGTATTATGGGGGATCCAGACTTCTGTATTTTTATACAAATATACCTTTATGGCCCTCCACTGTCCACACCTTTTATGGCGCTTGAAAATAATGATCTTTGCACACCTGAGTCAACCTTAGCAAGGACACGAACCGACATCAATAGACTATCTGGGTGATGTGAAATTAAAAAAAACCTTTTTCTCCTTACATTTATAGACAACGGAAGGTCTCGTAGTAACATGGTTTATGTATGAAGAGATATATTCTGTATATCAACAAAACAGGAAGTTATTTATTCGAAATTTTAAGACAATTTGGATATTTCAAACCCCCGAATATCTATAGTTTTTTTCCCGAGTCCCCTCAAATTCGAGATACTGATATCTCACTGTTTTTTTTAATTTTCTTCTTCAAGACTTTTCTTTTGCAATGTAAGGTACTAATCCGAAGCATTGGTAATCCTTGCATTCTAACTAGGAATTACGAGGGTTGTTCAATAAATAATGTCCTGAACTGTATGCCAAACAATTCAGATATAATATGACATTAAGCTTGACTTTTCCGCATTATTGAATCTTTAATGAATTTATTACAATTTATGTGACTACTTTTCATCACATAGTTTCATTGTGAGAAGTGGAAAGCAATGGCTATTCGAGACACTGCATTAAAAATGAATGGTAAAGAATAAGATGCACTTGACAAAAACAGCAAAGGTCTGGGAAGAGCAAAGAATAGCAAGAACACATGCAAAGACAGATTTATTTGCAATTTTCCTAAATATTAGTGATGTTGTTGTTCAAATTCGTATTCGGGAAGGCAGTTTAATTTCTGGAAGAGTCTAGAAAGCAATTTTTTTGCAAAAAAATCGAAAGGTTAATGAGAGGAAGGAACCAGAATCTGGAATCCACTACATTAAGTTTCTTCATGACAGCGTCCAAATTCGCACACCCTGAATAGTAAAGGAGTTTTTGGGATAAACAGAAAGTCAATTTTTTTCACATTAACAATATTCGCTAGATCTTTCGCCTTTTGACTTGTTTCATTTTTCAAACTTGAAAAAACACCTTTCAGAAGGAAGAAACAAGTCCAGGAAATCATAAGATCTGCCATTTATCAGTATACTAAGGGTCATACCCAAAAATGAGTTCTAAAACAATCAGAAATTGGATAGAAAAAAAATTATGGACATGAATTTTAATAAAAAGAGAATATTAAGTAAAATCATTTAGACTAAATCATTGAAAAGCTTCTTTTGCTTCTTTCCGAGCACCGAGGACATTATTTTTTGAACAGCCCTCGTAGATAATTCAAAAGAAAAAGTCTTTGGAGTTGTGTCTCTTTTCTGTTGTGGATACATCTCTTTTAGTAGGAGACAAACTTAAATTAAAATTTATTGTAAAGTAGTAAAGTTGACTCATGTTTGACTTTTGTTACTGCTTTAAAAAAAATCAAGGGGGTAGCTTTCTTGAAAATTAATTGAAATAAACGCGTAAAATACCAAGCAATTTGAAAGAGTGTACTGATATAAGATACTTAGTAAAACTTCAATGAAATAATTGATAGTCAAAATTCATTTTGCTTTCTATGTTTTGAAGAGCAAAGTACTAAACACCTGCAAGACATATTGACATGGTTTAGATTCTTGAGTTGCTGGTTAGAATTCTACTACAGGAATAAGAAACTGGTCCTTCG